GTCAATACCAGGAAGGGTGGAGACATCCCCCTCCATCTCCAGTCCAATTAAGTTTTCAATTCTGGTTTGCCTCCTGGAGCATTAGCCTGACCACCAGTCTGCTGAATATTTATGTGGTGGTTTTCTTTATGGTTTTCAGAGGCCATTTCAAGGTATCAGATGCCCCTTTTGGGCTAACAACTTGAAGTCAGATGAAACTGGTGGTTAGGGACAAGATAGCCAAAGAGGTGCGGGAAGGCAGAGTGCTGGGCTCATTTGATGGGCAATGGGTTCCAAACTTTAGAATTTCTTCCCTTGGGGTTGTCTCTAAAAATGCAGAAGGTGAGTTTTGTATAATTCACCATTTTTCGTACTCTAAGGTTAAATCAGTGAATGATGCTATCCCTCCAGAGCTTTGGTCTGTTCATTATACATCATTTGATAATGTGGTCAAGGAAATTCATAAACATGAGCTTGGTGCTGAGCTGGCCAAATCTGATATAAAATCAGCTTTCTGATTGTTGCCAGTTCATCCCATGGACTTTGAATTGCTGGCTTTTCACTTTTAAGGTAAGTTTTACATAGATAGGGCCCTTCCTATGGGTTGTTCAGTCTCTTGTGCAGCATTTGAGGCCTTTAGCAGAGTTTTGGAATGGGCAAAGGACACTGAAATGAGCAGAGGACACAAAAAGATACGTCAGAGTTCACAGGTGTTGTTCACTATTTTGATTTTTTGTTTGTTTGTTTTGTTTATTGGTGGTTCGGCTTCTGGTTGATGTGGATTTCTGCTTCATGCATTTGAGAGATTGGTCAGCCTGGAGTTCCCCTAGCTTCGGAGAAGTCTGAGGGGCCATCTACTTATTTGACATTTTTGTGCATTGCCATAGACACTATTAACCAGTCTTGCCAGTTGCCCTCAGAAAAGCTTAAAGACCGACAGGAATGTCTCCAGGCTTTTTTAGGACTTGGCATTCAAATTTTGTTTGCAAGGTGGTCATACCTGGGCATATCTTTTTGAGGCACTTTTTTGATGTCCTGTTAGGTATGTCCTAGCCACATCATAGAATTCATCTCACTTCTGGAATTAAAGAAGATTTATGTGTTTGGTTGCAGTTTTTGGAAAGTTTTAATGGCATTTTGTTCTGGTGGAAGGAGCTTAAGCTCAAGGATGCCTTGCTAGTCTCTTCTGAATCTTCAGGATCCATAGGTTTTGAGGTCTTTTCTAGGGGGGATTGGTGTGCCCAGTATTGGCCTCCAGAGTGGAGTATTTTGTAAATAACATCAAACTTGACATTTTTAGAGTTTTTTTCCTATTTTGGTGACCATCACTATATGGGCGGAGGAACTTGCCAATTCCTCTCTTCATTTTTGGTGTGACAATATGTCCACGGTGCATGTCATTAATTCCCTGACATCTATGGGCCTCTGCAGACTGGCCCAATGGGCTGGCCTGGAGTCAAAGATGGGGAGGGGAAGCCAGCCACCCCAACCCCAGCCGATGAGATCCTGACACCGTGCACCATTACACACAGCACACAGCATCAGGACGTCCTCCCGACACAGTATCCTGATGTGCTGTGCCAGAAGGGGTGCTAAAGAGCCATGTGCCAGCTCTTAGGGTGCCCTTTTGCCACCCCTGAAAGGAGCAGCATTTTGCTGCTCTTTCAGGGGTGGCAAAAGGGAGGATGGGGGCCACAGCATGCGGTAGCCACAGTCCCGATCCGCAGCTAGCAGGGGTGGCCCAGAGCTGCCTGACTGCAGCCCCCCTAAGTCTGTCCAGGTTATGAGACTGGTTTGTGCCTTTACTCTCCAATGTTTGAAATTTAATATATTGTTCACTGCTTTCCATGTTGTGGGTCTAGAAAATTCTGTTGCTGATGCCCTCTCTTGTATGCAGATGGTGGGTGCGCTTCAGGAAATTGGCACCAGATGCAACTCTAGCACCAGAGCCAATGCCGGTAGGCTTATGGAACCTTGGAAGCATGAGTTAGAGCCCTTAATATTTGAATAGCTCCAAGTATGCAATGAGGTTATAGGCAATCAAGGATTTTAGGGCCTTTTGTTCACGTAATAAGTGTTAGGTTTAAATGGGATATAGAGTCAATGTTAAAATGTTGA